TTTGGCCAGTACTGGGGCTCTGAGGAAGCACTCTTGTAGGCATTGGTAAAATAAGACTGCAGCCTCCCCCCCCTCCCCCTCCCCAAAAGTTTTCTCTTAGTCAATACTTTAAGGTATGTTTATATTTGAAGATTAGACGTTTTTAACTATTCCAAAGTTTTTGTTTATTTTTAAAATATTGGCTATGATTATCATTCTATGTCTTATTGCTGCAATTCTTTCTGCATTTTTGGACAACGTTACTACAATGCTTCTTTTTACTCCAGTAACCATAAGGTACTTTTATTGTTATGCTTTTGACATTAGTCTATTGTAGATTAATTTTGCTGACTGGCATGTTTACAAAACTATTGTTGTAAATAGTATATAAAGCTATATTTTTCGAAGGGTGCACTTTCCCTGTTTTGATGTTCTCACACATTTATCTCCTTCTGCAATTAAGTACATGTGCAAGCACTCTGACTTGTACCTGCATTTGAACTGCAATAGCCAAGGGTGTCAACAGTTTTATTGTGGTTGCAAATTGTTTTTGCAAGCAGGGTGGCTTTACTTTTTTTGAAAAACATCCCTTCATGCACTAGCTATGCTTATGTACAACTCTTCTTTATAACTGATGATTTAAAGAGTTCTAATTCTTTTAATACTACTGGCAACTGATGGAATTTTTTGTGTAGGCCAAGTGGTAAAAAGTGTGATTTTTGGAGAAGAAGGCTCTGAATTTTTTTACTAATTACTATAACATTGGTACAGCTCCAGATTAATTCCAAATATGTAGAAGAGTTAATCAGCATTTTTACTGAATTCAATTAATGCAGATTTCTGAAAATTAATAGCATACGATTTGCAATCACATTTAGTCTGTGTGATTATAAACCACTGTTTAGGTTAAATTTAACCTGTATTTAACCAAGGAAATCCAGTTAATCCAGTTAAAGTTTTTTTAAGATCTGAGGAAAGGGTGATTTTAAATCTCACCACAAGTGATGTAACGCTTGTAGTTGTCATCATAGATTCATAGATGCTATCATATTTACATATACAGAATTTTACTATACATTCCCTATTAGATGTAGTTCTCAGTAGTCAAAATCAGTTTGCAAGTGAAGTTTATTGTAGATGGAGAAACAGCTGGTGAATGAAAGCCTCATTTGTTTTTTACCTGAACATATTTTCAGTAGATTACATTAATTTACTTTATTTCAGCCATTATTTTTACCGCTTAGGTTGTATCTACATGAGATGATTACTGAGGAGTAGACTAATTAGCTCATCAGGTATACATCTTGTGTCTACATGTGCACCCCATTTGACTGGAACAAATTAACTCTGTAGCAGGTTAGTACCTGTAAATACAAGTACTGTCCTGCTGTGGAGTAAAAAACTCCTCAGCAGCATATGTATAGACGCTGACATGGCTAGCTGCAGCACAAGGGTGCTTCAGTGTGGAGGCTGCCTGCTGGCTAGCTCTACACTGGAGCAACCTCGTATCCTAGTCAGCCCCTCTGCAGCATGTTGAGCAATGGGGGATCAGGCTGATCCTCAGGACCCTCTGCCAGATGAAGCTGCTCCGACCCGGCTCAACGTGCTGTGGTCCCAGGCGCATGTTCAAATGGTGCGCCCAGGAGCAATAAACTCCAGAGCAATAAGTGCTGAAGTTTATTGCTTTGCATTAATTGCACATATAGATGAACCCTTAGACTAGGAAATGCTGGAATTATTAAACATCAAATGTTCTCTAGTTACGTTGCAGAATGTTTTGAGTTAAATGTAATTGGTAACAGATTGAAATCTTAAAAGTCTACACACAAACTGCTGTTCATGTATAGAATTACTGCTGCATCTACTTATTTTATGCTAAAAGATTTTATAAGCCTGAAATAGGGGAACAGCATCTAAGACTTTTAGTTGGATGATTACTATCTATACTTCTAAACTAGCAAAATAAAAATTCTACTTTAATGCTTTTTTATTTAACCCCCACCCTATTTTGGTATTTCTCTGAAATAGTCATTCTTTTCTTGTCATTATCTTTTTGTTTTACCTATAACTTCACTATGCTGCTCTATACTGTCATTGCCATGGAGATGAAGCTTGCAGAAAATTCTCCTGATTCCATGACCATAAGGTTTCAGACTTTTATCAATAAGGCATAAAATGTAATGTTCTTGTCACATTTTTTGGTAAATAGATATTAAAAAAATATAATAACGATAACCCTCTTTAGGGATAACTTATTATATTTTAAACCATACTTCGAATGCCTAGATGCTTCCCTGTTTGAAATCAGCTGTTCATATGGGAAATTATAAAGCTTGGATAAATAAAGCATAATGGTTTAATCTGACTGTACAGCTAACACATTGTAATAATCCATTAATCAAAGCTTTTTTAAGACTGTAGTAAGGATTCTTCTTCTGCAAAATGTCTGTACCCCATTAAGAAAAAAAGTGCTAAGGAATATAGAATCCACTGTTAAGCACTCAGAAGTAAAGCAACAACATTGTTTATATTGTACTAAAATCTTAATTCTGTTCCTTGTGCAACTCCATTACAACATAGCTTTTAACAATATCATTTCATGCTGTTATTCAAACACTATTTTACTGGGGTTGGAGTGTTTTGTAGCAAAAATATTTTATTGAACATTTTTACTTTTGCAATCATAGCATATAGATGTGTAGCATTTTATAATGTTTTTATGCTTTTAAATTGCCACTATTTTTATTTTCATTGTGATAGCCTAACTGTATTAACTAGAGGCTTTAAATTTTCTTTGCTTTGAAATATATTTTTAATAATATGGAGTTAGATGGAATCAGAAGAGCCAGTCCTGCTCTAGGGGCGACATATAGCTGCATCCTAAACCAAGGAAGGCATTTGGACACTGTTTTACTTTCTTCCCTGCTCCTACACTGTTTACAGGGAAGCTAATTAATGCAACCATAAATAGAGAGTAAGTCATGCTCCCACTGTTTCCTGGCTTTTCTTCATTGTTGGTTATGTTGTGAGGTTGGCCACAAAATGAAGGAAGAAGCCAATTCTTCACTTTCCTAAACTGCCTCCTTCCATCCTGGTTTAAGTTAAATCAGAGTCCTCCAGCATCCTGACATGCTGTGTGGGCGGGGCTCCAGAGAGCGGGACTGGGCTGTCCCCTCCGCTCCCTGGCTGTAGCTCCAGCAGAGACTGCAGGTACAGTGGCATCTGCCTGGCTTCCTCCTGCTCCTGCTCCTCCCTCCCCCTCACCAATCCCTGCTGATGCAAGGATTCTCCCCTACCCTCTGCCTTACACAGACACCTCTCAGCATTAGCTAGCATACCATGTGCTGGCTATGGTCCATGCTGTGGGAAACAGGACAAAGGGAGACAGCACAGTGTTGGCTTAGGGCTTTTTAGAGCTTATCAGCAGGTAGCTGGTAATGTCCATGGAAAAAAGTTGTTTAAGAGGAGGTTGACCTAGTGAGGGAAGCTTTTTTTTTTTTCTTAACGGGCTGATAAACATTGAGTTAGGGGTGATAACCACTGTGTTATCAACTCCCTGCTGGTCTTCTGGGAGGGGAACCCCTCCCTAACCAGAGCATCAGGTGGGGGCCTGGCCACACCTCCACTCAGCTCAGCACTGTTGAAGGGAAGGGAGGGCTGCTCTAACACCCCTAGCTTCTAGCCTGAGCCACTGCAGTAATGTGCCTGCATTTCTGGAATGAAAAGGGAATGTCTATCCACCTCCAAATTGGTTCCAGCTTTGCAGGTTGGACTTCAAAGATTGAATCAATTCATTTTCAGGCTTTTTGAATGTCTGTCCCTACTCCTTGTCATCACAATGGGTTTAGTACAGTGGTACGTCTCCACTGCAGAGTAGTTGAACATAGTATAGACATACCTGAGCTTGCTGTAAATGCAGTAACTTGAGTACTAGAAGGAGTTTATCTGTAGCAACATGGAGCTTAGTATAGGTTAATTTACTCTTGTGCTAAAGACTCTGCTCTGTAGACAGACTTCTTCTGGTATCACAGTCAGTTTTTTTTTACAGCTAATTCAGGTACTTCTACATCATGATGCAGTTTGCTGTTCAGAAATTCTATAGAGTGCTGGTGGGAAGGTCCCTGCATTTTCCAGGAGTAGGTGATATGGGTTGTTGTGCATGGAACAGGAGAGGGTGAGTGGGGCTTACTTTAGCAGCATGATGAACAGTCCACTGCCATGGTAGAGAAAAATCTCTCTTAATATATGGAACTAATTAGGTAGATGCTACTGGAATGTAATAAACCAAAACCCCCCCTGAAAGTCACTCCTTTTCTGTACTTGTTAAGTAGTCCAGGGGAACACCACTCATCTGAAGACTTCGGAGCTCATATGCACAAATTTACTAGTGGGGTCAGACCCAAATAGTTAAACTGGTATTACTCACTATGTGGAAACTCTTATTCTTGAATGTCCCAGGAAAGCATTTCAACACCTGCTTAACTCCAGCCTTTTTCAGGAAAGTAGGAAGGGCCATGATGCACATTACAATTATAGTGTGATGAATGTGTTAATAGCACCATAAATGCACCCTTAAGGCACATGTTAACCTTGAAGCACATATAGGCTAAGTACAGACAGTGAAAAAGCCTGAGGCAAAATCAATTAATCCTTTGCAGGTTTTTCTAAGCTGCAAAGATTGGATCATGAGCAAACATAACACATGTTTGCCCTTGTGGGAGGGGAAACAGGCAAATGTGTATTCTGGTTAGGCCAGAACGTGGTGGTGGTGGGGGGTGGCGTTCCTGCACACCTCCCAGCCTAGCACCAGATCTACCCCTGATAGGCTGTCAGGGACACAATCGCCTGCTGTTATTGAAGACCCTCCCTGCCTGGAGCTCTAGGCTTGCAGAGCTGGTCACCATGGCAGCCCCAGGTGACCAGGAGTGGGGTGGAAACAGATGCCCCCATCCCAGACACAGCTTCCAGCATGGGGTCTGCACTGGGCAGGGATGTCCCATGGCAAAGACTTTTCTCCATGAAGCCCAGCTGGGTGATTTCCTCTGTCCTGGACCTGGCCTCTCAGCTATAGGAGTGAAGGGCATGGCTGGGGGGGCCCATGGCAGGGCCAAGGAGCTCTTTTCCCTGCCTCCCCCCACCCCTGCCCGTCATGGCTGAGAGGCCAGATCTGGCAAGGGGAAGAGGCTGGGGCTATCCTGCTGCGAGGAGAAGAGTCAGGCTGTGGTAGGGGGAAAGCCATCATCATGGGGTCCCCCACACTGTGCACACTAGCTGCCCCACCCCCTTAGCAACCCCTATGCCACCCTGCCAGCTGGGTTGGGGAGCAGGGGCTCTGCTGCCTGAGCTCTGTGACAGCTCAGTGGTGGAGATGGCTAGACTTCACAGGAGCAGATAGTGGGCAATGGCTAGCCCACCTGCCCTGCAAGGGAGCGTGGCAACGGAGGTGCAAAACATCCTGGGATGCTGGGGGACTGAGAGTTGACTTGAGTCAGGTGGGGATCTGGGACAGAAGTTCGATAGACCTATTTAACCTAAGTCAGTTAAGTCTGATACTACATGCATCCAGGTCTATCTTAACCAGTTTTGGCCATTTGGAACCAGTTTATGTGCACTGAACTTCCATTCTATTACAGTTTTAAAATGGTTTCCAATCACTCAAACCATTTTATGTGTAATTTCTGACCCTAGCCACATGTTAAAAATCAAGCACAGGCATTAGGGCCGTCCTGAGCTGGCCTTTTAGTGTGCAGACTGTGTGAAATCTACTGTTTAGAAACACACTGTAATTCTTTCAATATATTATAACTTGGTACAGTCAGTCCTGATGTTTACTGGGACTCTTTGAGATATCAGTTCTCCCCAAGGACTGTTTCTATACAAAACACTGATTTCCTGTATCTACCTGGTTTTGTGCATGAGTTAAAGAGTTAAAGAAAAAAAGGTTGATTGATAATTTTTAATAATGAACATTTTTTTTCTACTTCCCATGTTTTTAAAAAATGTCAGAAATATTCTTCCTCAACCTTATTTATTTATCTGGGTTGAGAACTGGTTGGTTAGATTGTGGCCTAAATAGTGAAAGTTTTATAAAATTTCATGCATCCCCTTTTGGGAACAGGAAGTTGAAATGGAAGAGCTCATGCAACTTTAACTATAATCCATCTGTTTGGGATTTTAAAAATTGTTTTTAAAGCTACGTACTATGATTGCAATAGCCATCTCAGTGGAATTGTAAAATTCATGTCTTAATTATTAATTAAGGAAGTTCAATTTTTATTCTTTGTTCAACAGTTTGAAGCTTCCAGTCAACATACTGAGTTTTATAAATCATTTAAGGTTTGAGGCAATTTAATTAAAGGCTAAGGAAGTGATTTCATTTTCTTCTGTGGACTGCAGGTTGTGCGAGGTACTTAACCTTGATCCGAGACATGTCCTGATTGCAGAAGTAATCTTCACAAATATTGGTGGGGCTGCCACAGCTGTCGGGGATCCTCCAAATGTGATTATAGTTTCAAAGCAGGAGCTGAGGAAGGTGGTATGTATTGAAATCCATTGTGTTTCTAAAAATAGATACAGACAGCAGTTTATTCAGTAATTTTGACCTTTTCTTCCCACGGACAGTCACACAAGCAGAAGAAAGTGCACGGTTCTGTCCTGTTTTTATCATTAGTGCTATTAATTAGAATTAGGTGAATGAATTTTTTTTAATTATGCAAAAAAAGGTGTATTTTGTAAACAATGTTTTTATATTTTTATGTCGCCAGGAAAAAATGTGTTTTCCCCTTATTTTTAAATCAGGATTGAAGCAGGAAAGGTGGGAGGAACTGAAAACTCAAACATTTTTATTAAAGTTTTTCCCATACATTTCAAATATAAGCATGCATACACACTCATACCCACACTCACATCTTTATAAAAAACTGTTCCATCCATGTACTGGGAACTATGGTATTGCATTGCCTGGTATAGGATCTGCCGCAGAACAGTGAGTCTCAGACTGTGTCAATAAAATGATGTTCTAACTATAATGGAGATTCAGAGAGCGAGAGATTCTTCCCCCCACACAGCCCAGGCCTCAGCTGGCTGCTAGTTCTTGCCAATGTCTTGTTATCTCCACAGTGCAATGAAAGGTTTTAGCTTCCCACACTTGGTGCCTGTATTTAGGAACAGAATTGTTTCATTTTTGCTTCCTAAATGAGGCCAGTGAAAAGAATGTCATGATCTGTGGTCTACTGGACAGCAAAAACTCTAGGCATCTGACCACTCATAGCCTCCCCTTCCACCCAGATGCCTTTTTCTTCCCCTGAGGTGGGAAAGCATCTGTGCTAAGGCTTTTGGATTCTGGGGAGAGCTGACAGTCATGGTCTGCTTCCATGCTCCTCATTATTTTTCCCATCACTTGGGAGAAAGTATCTTCTTGGCTTCCCATGTTTTGGTTTGGGCACATATGTGCATGTGCAGGATGTCGTAAGTACTCCTTTCTCCTGCTCCTATTTTTGCTTTTAGGAGCTTGAGAGAGATTTCCATTGTTCCCCAGTCTGCTTGTTAGAGAGTCTCTGGGGAGAGAGCTCTGGCACTCTTTTTTTTTTAGGAGACTGGATTTTTGAACTGACAGCAGGAGAGGAGGATTTTCATTTTAGGTTAGGCCCTGGCCCTCTGATGATGATAGAGAATGTCTGAGTGGTTTGAATGTCAATTTTATCCATAACCCTTTCTGTAACCCCAGGATAGGGCTCCACATTGGGCCAGGGGTAGGATTTAGGTGCACTGATAAGTCCACTTTGTGGACTGGAGGGTGGGAGAGGGATTCTAATCAACCCCTTCCTGAGCTCCTGCTGGGGTGGAGTGGCTCTGCATTGCCCATCCTTAGTGCTCTGCTTAAAGTAAGTAACCCAGTCTAAGCCTGAAACTGGGGACACAGTTCCCTGCTGTTTATTTTGGCTGAGTCTTTAAAATCCAGAAAAAGTAGACAATTAAAGTTATAAAGAAGTTAAAGAAGCACAGTGTATAGTGAGTACAGTGTCATATTAAACTCCTGTACCGGAGGATGATAGGGAGGAAATTGTTACAAAGTTCTAATGTTGAATTAGTGGTTATTGAATTATGTCACTACAGCAATATCAAGAAAAGTCTCTTCTAATTAACAGTGTAGTTCTCGGGGAGGGTGGGGGGGGAATAATGACATATATTTTGAGAAATATAGGCTCTAAAAGCCTACAGTTAATGAATGAGGAGTATTTTTGAAAACATCTGAAATGTATTAGGAACAAATCAAGCCAATCAGATAATGGCTATAAAGTGTCCTAGTGTACTTTGGGTGGTGGCTTTAACATTTTATCTGTTTGCACCTATTCAAGTCATCTAAGCTAGAGGAGGTAATTTATGTACCACACAGTGCATTTTCTCTAATACTTAGAAAATTAGCATTTCAGCAGTACCTTTAGAAACAGATATACTTTAAAAGTTTCATACTATAATCAAGGAAAGCATGCAAGTAATCTAATTGATTACTTAACTGTTAAGTAGTCAAATTATATATATTGTTTCTTGGATAGCACCTGATCTTTCTCAGAAGACCCAGTCTTAAAAATACCTATAAAAGTCTCTGGTATGTGATATCATAGCAAATTCTGCCTTTATAACTCCATTTTAAATGAGGATACTAAATGGAAACAACCAGAAAATATTCAAAACACTTTCACTTTCTGGACTGGTTTCAAACATATATCATTTAAACCAAATTAAGGCTTAATCACAGTAAATGAATGAATGAGATCCTACAAAATAGTTTTCTTGTCTGTCCTATTCCTAAGCATAATTCCAGTAAATGCTTATTTACAGAATCCAACCCAAGTATTTACTTAAAATTTGTAACACTTCTATATTATGCTTAAGTCAAGTAAAATGTATTTGCTTTTAAACATGTTTCAATGTAGAAAACTCCTAAACACAGTAAATCACTATGTAATATTACCCAAGCGTTTTAGATTTTAAAATTTTGAAACAGCCCCAGCTTCCCAAATCACCCACAGCATGGATGCAGCTTGTGATTCTAGGGGCTTCTGAATTTTTCTCCTTGATGCTTTCATTGCAGTGTCTTTTTTTAGCAGTTTGAATTTCCCTTTCAGTCACTTCTGAGGGAATATTTAATGTCTCTCTTGGCTAGTCAACAGAGGGAGTTTACACAAGTACTCAGCACATTCTTGACATTTCACCACAGCTATAGGAGTTTTGAAATTATTGTCTTTTTATATCTGAAGATCTGTTACACCTAAATATGCCACAGTATGCTTAAATTTGGATACCAGTTAGACGTAACCAGAAGTAATTCACAGGTGAACATTTGCCTTTTGGTGGGGATGGTAAATCTTAGACTGGGTTCTGCCATTTTTAAACCAGTCTGTGTGCATCACACTTCTGTTCTGTTACAGGTATAGATTGGTTTCCAATCACTTATACCAGTAAAGGTGTAATGCTTGTACCGACCATAATCCATATTATCACTGTTCCTATAAAAACACATGCTCATTCTGAACTTTGATTTCAACTGGGCTTGCACAAGCTTAACACTATATATGTGATTAGGTGTTTTACTGGATTTTGGGCTTGTATGCTTGTAGGCTAAACATGGATTTAGTTGTAGATAGTAATTTAATAGATTAATTTAGCTGGAGAGAGTTATTCAATAGGGCCAGAAACTTCTCAGTTCCAAGTCTGGGCACTCTTGTGTGACCTTGGTTTACCTTACTTAATATCCATCTCAGTTTCCTTACCTGTAATAAACACTTCACAGAGTCAGAGGCCTGCCTAAAGCTCTTTGAAGTGAATGGGATCCTTTCCACTGAGTTCACTAGGCTTTGGGTCAAGCCCCTTTTAAGGATTAATACATTCTTTGGATAAGAACACATGCACATTTCAAGGTATTTCAAAAGGACAGTAGCTGTGACTTCTAATTTGTATGTGTGAATGAGCTGGAAATGGTACAAATATAGGAAAACAACTTTAACTGCTAACACTGTTTCATCTAGTGTTAAATTTGGAGCGATTCTGGTACATATGTATCATAGGCAAATTGTGCACACATAACAATTAGAATGTAACAGAGGCTGTCGAATGATGTTCCCCATTTGAAATGGCTCCAAATATATGGGTGTCCATGATCTATATCAGTGATAACAGTGAGTGCATCTACATGTGCTGTTAAGGTGATGTGATAAACTCTGGTGCAGTTTGCACAGGAGTTAATTGGTCCAGGGTGCAATGTCTGCATCTGCACCCAGGACCACAGCAGTTTCAGCTGGGGTGGAGCAGCCCCAGGCTGGCAGGGGGCACAGCTGAGGGGTAGTGTCAACCCCAGGTTCTGTGTGGTGGCAGAGGGGGGCAAAGGGGCTGGCTGGGGCACTAGGGTGCTTAAGTGTGGGGCTAGGGAGCAGGTAGCCCCTGCACTTAAGCACCCTCATGCCCCAGCCAGCCCCTGTCACCTTCTATACATGTGTTTCAGCTAATGTAATTACTCCACCATAGGCTAGTACTGTCTCTGAGCCATTCAAGATGCAAGGCAGCTGCTCAAAGTGAATGCAAAGCATTATGATTTTTGTTTGTTGGCAATTTTACTTCCAATTTTACTTCAAATGACTATAGAAGGTACAAAGCGCTGAGAGGGACAAAGTAAGTATGGAAAGGAAAGGTGATGCTTTTCATAATATGTATATCATCTTATTAGGGATGTAAAGAAAGATCTTAACAGGGTCACAGAGCAGGCATCTCTTGATTTGCAAACAAAAGGAATATGAAATAAATAAATGTGCAGTTCTTGTAAGTAAGACATTTTGATGTTTAAACAAACTTTCATTTTTGCCTAGTCAGTTTGTCTTGTTCTCTATCACTGTAGCATTGGAAACCAGAGACCTTTTCATAGTGATGCCTACCTTTATAAGACTGCATAGGAGTATAGTTATCACAAACTGTTCACCTTTTGGATTTAAAAGCTATCATTCATTGTGATTCAAGATTAATTGGGTATAGATTGTGACAAACAGTAGCATTTGCAATCTGTGGATAACAATTACTTGTTAACCTGTGTTGCTTATGACTGAAACACTGCAGATAATAGTTTAAATTAGTCTATAAAAGCATTTTAAGTCTTGGCAGATTATAAAATAGTGGACCATAAAGTAACAGTGTCACTTAATTTATAGGATTTTGCTGAGTTATTGGTTGATAGCTGTGTAAAACATCCAATTGCTTTATACGACTTCAGCTCTTTCTTTTATTTCTACCTTTTCAGTAGTTTGCCGTCAGAAAAATTCAAGTGCTGATGGGAACACCGTGCTGCTGACTCTGACCTTAAACTGTTTGTGTCTGCACATAGCAGAAGTTACAATGGTTCAGCATGGTTAAGTGGCAAAATATGGGGGAATTCATTATTTTCTAAATAAGGCATTTTTTCACTTAAATTTATTGGGTCATTGTTCTTTCACCTGCAGCTAGGAACAGTTGATAGCTTGTGATCTCAGAATACTCCCATCGTCTTGG